AAAATACTGTTTTAGGAAAACTTGTTTTACAAGGAAGAAGAAAGGATAATAGCTAGGGGCATAAGTTCTACAGAGGAATTTAAGATGGGAAAGATAAATACTTAGCACCAACTCCTCTGAACTATCTTCCTGGACTACACTCCTCTTCAGGACTAAATCCAAGCCAGTCATTTACTAAGAAAGCACAAGTCACTTAACATTTTTAAGCTCCAAATGAGATACGTGTTTAAGAACTGTAAATTATAGAGAGAATCTGAATAAATGATCTCTAAAGTTCTTTCTAGATCAAAATTCTATGATTCTATGATTATCAGAGGCTCTGAACTCTTTAAACTCAAAGGTAAATCACAAAATTCTCAGTATGCAAGGAAGAAAATACAAGACAATTAAGAGTTTGTATAACTCCTTATTTTTGCAAAACTGTTAAAACAATTAATTCCTAATCTGACCATCAGTAAAATTTCTACAGAAAGACAGCACCTTTTTATCAGAGTTGTTAAGGTGCTTCTCCTCCACAAACCTGCAAACTTCTAAAGAATCAACAAGAAACTGTTTTGAGATAATAGAAGTAAAAGTCCACAGCTTAGACTTGTAAATCATCTTTTAAAATTAAGATGTCTACATGAACTTGTGTATTACATACTTATTAAAATATATTTGTCAATTATCTTCTCTTACTATTTTAATGTACAGGTTGAAAGTTCATGAAAAGTTTTATAAAAAACAGCTAACATTAGCTCTTCATAGTGATATGCCTTCTTTTCACTATCACACATCGTGAAATTTGTAACAAGGTTTCCCTTACCTGATATGGACATGGAATGTGATACTCTCTGCAGCGTTCTTGTATCCATGTTGTTTCCCAGATGCCACGGTAAGCTTGCTCATAAAAGTAGCATCCAATTACAACCAAGAGTGGTACGAGATAAAGAATGCTGAAAACACCAATCCGGATCATAAACTTCACTAATTTATCTTGGTTCTCCTTTTCTAATGGAATCTCAATTCGAACTCTGTTTAGGGATATAATGCCGGCTAAGAGGAGAGAAACCCCAACTACCACATACAGGCAGAGGGGAGCAAGAACAAAATATCTCAATGCGTCAACATCGTAGAGGCCAACAAAACACACGCCACTAATATTGTCACCTTCAATTTTATTCATCGCTAAAAGGATGATAGTTAGAGTTCCAGGGATGCCCCATGCACTGGCATGAAACAGCAATGCTTTCTTCTCAATAGCTTCACTACCCCACTTTGGCACAGCTGCTAAGAACCATGTGATGGTAAGAATTACCCACCATACACTGCCTGCCATAGTAAAAAAATAGAGTACCATAAAAAGCATGGTACAGGCTTTATTATGAGATCCTTGTGTCACTGTGGAAGCCTTATACTGTGCAGGGCTAGATGCGTTGCAGGCTACTCGGTCCTCAAGCAAAAACCCAATGAAGAAGATTAATGATACCATCATGTAGCAGACTGCATAAAATATAATAGGCCTTTCAGGATAACGAAATCTTGTGACATCAATCAAAAAAGTTAAAAAAGTAAACAACGTGGCAGAGAGGCAAATGATTGAAATCAATCCTATGAAATAGCGAGCAAATGACAATTCTTCTCTCCTAAAGTACATGTTTGGACAAGGAGGTGAACAATCACGCACGTGCAAAAATGAATAACCAAGATCAGGATCAATTTTCAACTCCCGGGGACACCAAAAACCATAGTCCCTCTGCACTGCCACTGGGGCTCCTTCAGTTGGATCTCCAGCTAAATTCAGATCCACAAGTCGAGGATACGGCTCATCACAATCTGGGAACCTAAAAAAACACAAGATGAGAATCATTTTTCCTTATGGGGAAATCTATTGCCACCTAACAATTAGGATTTCCAAATTCATTACCATCACCTTATTCATTCTTACATCCTTTGAGGGCAAGTGCAGTAAGTAGGAATAAAGTAAA